ATGGCGGCTAATTTTTCAGTAGAAGAAGTGGTCGAAATAGTTGCAAGGGAGGAAGAAATGGACGTTCATGTCCAAGAAGAAGCGAGTGAAGAGGTCACTTTGACTGAAAGAATTACAGAGTGCCTAAAGGAGGTTGGAGATGCCAGCATAGACGTCGACTTTTTTGTCGACGCTGGCATGTCAATGCTTGTCCCACTGTACGATCTAAGTCGGCGAAGAGTTGCAGGTTTACCTGTAAAAGCCTCCCAGATCCTTAACACCCAGATTCAAGTGGGTACCATCATGAGGTCGGAGTCCAGGTTATGGCTGGAGACCATTAACAGACGTCTTGCCGGACGACGACGGGTAAGAAACCCATTCCAAAGCGAAATTGTCCGGGACATCCCCTACGCGGTTTTTCGCGTGTTACTGAGAGTAACAAAGTCTACAGAGGGCTTTGCCGAGCCATTCGTATCTTTTGGTGCCAACAAAAAGGCAGAAACAATTTCGTTTTCTTCATTAAGACCCGCCAAACAGCTGCTTTCAATGCTTTCCGGCCTGATGGAGCAAGAAGTTGTGCAATACTTCAAGAGGACTCTCACAGGGAAGAAAGCTGGCAGTAAAGTTAATGTCATCGCATCAGAAGAGAAAAAAATGGTTTTTGTTTACAAGTTAACCAAAGGCCAACTTGTTATTGCCTTCCACTTTGGGGAGTGGAATACATATGGCTTTCCCCAACATAATTAGATTATGCAAGTGAATACATTGTATATGAAAGAACATATATTTGAACTGTGGAGAAAGATATGAAGACATGATTGATCATCTGCGATACTGGTGCAGTGCTCTACCAACTGAGCGGTCAAGCCAACTGGGAGCTAATCACGTTGTGAGTTCCATAGCTGGTGAAGATGCAAGTGACTATATAAAAGACCATATATTTGAGAGAAAGATATGAAGACATGATTCATCATCACAGCTTTTTACACAACTTAAACAGTTGTGAAATTTACACCTTATTTTTTCTAGGCTTTAATTTCACAACTGCTTAAGAATGCATATGTATAAGCAATAATCAATGATCAATCGTGTCTTCTTAATTAGATTATGTTGATAATACGTTGGCTTGCAGAAGTGCATGATTCCTTATATGGAGGAGGGGGGAGTGGCGGGTTCACCACACCTTGTAGGTGTGTAAAGTGGAGTGTTTT